TTTGTGAGGAGATCAACTTACTTGGTTGAATAAAATTTGAATGAAATGTTTAACACTAATGGGAAATAATATTAATTTATTTAATTATCAAAATTTTATTAAATTGCCCATATTATTTAATAAAGTAAATATAAAATAAATAAAAACTTTGAACACATTTGAGAATAATTAATTCAATAAAGTAATTAAAAAATTTATAGTGATCATGTTTGAAAAATGATATTTAGAAGACTTTGTAAGAAATATTTAAATTGAAACGTAAAGAACAAATAAAAAATATATAAATTATTGAGGATAAGACTATAAATAATAAAAATAAAAGTTTAACTTGATTTTAATTACATTACTTGAGTATAATTTGAGTATAATTCTTGAGTTGAATTTGAGTTATAACTTGAGTTGAACTTGTAACTTGAGTTTGTGTTTGGTTGTGTACATTTGAGTTATGGTCTGAGATAAGAATCTTTTTGAGTTTGTGTTTGAGTGAGTCAAAACTTGAATTTGTATTTATATAGTATTTTAATAAAAACTCAATGCTGATGAAAAATTTTAATAGGGTATATGGGTCGGGTTTTATTCGTCTTTTCGTTGTCAACGCATAGAAAAAAAATCATCTCAATCAGAATTAAAACGAAAAAGTTATAACATTTTTAAGAATATAAAAAATATTATTAATTAATTTGAGTTTGAGTTTCTAAACTCGAGTTGAAGGGGAAACTTGAACTCAAATTTTAGTCATAAACTCAAGTTTAAACTCGAATTTAAACTTAAAAGAATATGAATTCGAATAAAGTTGTAACTCAAATTGACTTTTTTTTAGTTTTTCACTCAAAAGAACAAGCCATTTATTTCACCTGACCCGGTTCTAGAAAAGAGGACAAGAGTGGTCATGTTTAGACGACCGAGGATTTGTGATACATGTATATCTCCATTTAGCTTGGGCACACGGCGTCTCGTTAGGGAGAGGGGCATGCTGGCACGTGAAGTAGGCCTTGAGAGAAAATACTAAACTGCCCAAACAAAAAGCAATGCAAAAATAAGAAACCATAGATACAACGGTAAAAATAAAAGCTAGGAGACAAATACGGAATTTTTTCAAAACTAAATGACAAAAGGGACGGACACTATTTAAAAAAACAGTAACTCAGATACCTTCTTTAATATGTAGTATATAATAATATAATATAATATAATGAGAGAAAATACTAAACTGCCCAAACAAAAAGCAATGCAAAAATAAGAAACCATAGATACAACGGTAAAAATAAAAGCTAGGAGACAAATACGGAATTTTTTCAAAACTAAATGACAAAAGGGACGGACACTATTTAAAAAAACAGTAACTCAGATACCTTCTTTAATATGTAGTATATAATAATATAATATAATATAATATAATATAATATAATTGCATTCCGTCACTTATGGCTGGCTCACGTTTTGTTGTTTTTGACTCGAAATAAAAGAGAAAATCATTAGAAATTGTCTGATAATTCCAAAAAGTGAAGCATACCATTTCAAAATTTAAAAAAAAAAAAAAAAAAAAAAAAAGTGAAGCATAACTTCTTGAAAACGAACGGAAACTTTTGTGTCTTCGTGATTTACTACATATATGTGATCGACAGTTTATATTTTGCGCGCATTCTAATCATAACTTCGTTACCTACTATTGTCCGGTGACGTACTATTGGATAAATTCTCAAGAAATTACCCAAATGAGTTTAAAAATAGGCATGACATAAACAATTTAAACGTACGGGAAATTACTGATAATTTTTTTAAGGTAAAATTATATTCCAAAATTAAGGAGACGTACGCACTTGTACGGACATAAATGACCTCGTAATAATGATCACAAACCGGTTTCACTGGTAAGTTTTAAAATGAAGCGACAAGGAATCAAGTATGCACCAAGTTCTAATAAAAGAAAATTAAAAAGTGGCACTAATAATCGAGCACACAATTGACTCTTTCAATAATATCTTTAGGATCGATAGAGAATTTCAATCAATCAAGACTAAGGGTCCGTTTGGTTCATGGATTCAAATCATGTGATTTGAACTATTTTCGATTTACGTGTATTTTTTATGAGAGAAAATACTGTAGCGAACCACGAATCATGATTTGAATCAGGGAGTGAATCTAGGAACCAAACGGACCCTAAATGACCAAACGGATTAGAATCATGTGATTATAATTACTTTTGATTTACGTGTATTTTTTATAAGAAAAAATACTGTAACAAACTATGAATTATAATCTAAATCATGGTTTGAATTCTCCAACCAAACGTCTCCTAAGAGACTCATATCACAAGACTCACCCACAACACTATAAAAAGTGAATTCTCACGAGTTAGACACAAACACAATCAAAAGGTAAGGAGACCTTCTTGTTAAAAATAAAACCAAAATAAAACAACAACAGCAAGGCTGATACAATGCCTTTTTCTGTTGCTTGTGTTCGTTCACTTCGTTGATTCGAATTTATAATTCGAGTTGAGATGTGATTTTTGTGAGAGCTTTTTACTGTAGCAAAAAAGTTAGATGTGACTGTTTCTGAAAGCTTTTTACTGTAGCAAAACTCGAATTATAAACTCAAATCGACGAAATTAACGGAACTAAAACAACTAAAACCACACAAGCAAGAGAACTCGCCTCGCACGAAACCCAACTAGTGATACACCAACCCCAACGACAACAGAAACTAGAAACGATAAATCTATAAAGAGATGAAACCACCACAGAAGAGACGTGACAGCGGCACGTGGGAGCCCTGCGCTGCCACCACTACCACCAAGCAAGCCACTGCCTCCACAAAAATAGGCGCTAAACTACCAGAGCAGAGGCCCCAACATCACAACCCCTCAAAAAACCATGCCCCCTCGGAAGTGGCTACACCTCCGCCATCACTCAACAACGCCGTACCACCAAAACATTGAAACTCTGCCTCAACTGCTGCGAGATTGGACCCATCACCGCCGCCGAGCATGACCAACGCCCCCCCACACCCCACCCCAAACTCTCTTTTTTTTTTTAATTCTTTAGTATACTAATAACACAAAATAAAAATCCCAATAAAAGCAAAAAATTTAACTAATTATTATATCTTTTTTGTTGAAAATGACTAAACCACTATATAAATTTTAGAAAATGTATTAAAGGTTTGATTCATTTGGAAAAATAAATAAAGATAAAGATAGTTATCTGGTTATTTTTCTTCAAAAACTTTATTTAACTCACGCTCCCTGAAAAAATTTTCTGGTTCCGCTACTGAGAAAGATCAACATGTCTCGTGAATGCTATCCAAAATGAAATTATTGACAATTTTAGACTTTTTGGATTACAAAATATAAATTTTTCGTTATAGAAAAAATTATTAAAAAATGATTATTCTCTTATGTTGGCATCCACGGATCAACTTTCACGGTAAAGTTGTTGTGGGGTGATAAGGTCATTGTGGGGTTCGGAAAGGGGTGCGGGAATTTCATTAAGGGTAGTTTGGTGACTTCACATTTATAAATCCGGTTTTCCTTTTTTTTTATATTATAAAAGCAAGCATTGATTTTGCATTGATTTTGTAATTATTTAAGGAGACGTTTAGTTCATAGATTATAATTATGTTATTATAATTATTTTTAATTTACGTGTATTTTTTGTGAAAAAAATACTATAACGAATCATGAACCATGATTCAAATCATGATTTAAATCTTTTAACCAAACATCTCCTAAGTGATTCTAATGCTTAATAAAAATGACCTATTGATAGTATGTAGAATATAGATATAAACCATACTGGATTAACAAAATTATGACAATTGAATGCAATTTAATGGAAATTTAATAGTTAAAAAATGTGTTATATCGACAACAGAAATAAGTTAATGAACAATGTTTTGTAGATTCTATTTCATATCTCATCTTAAATAATTAAAAGGTTTGGCATTTGGATATTACGATCAATCTAATTCTTTTGAGTCAACGTGAGATATTGAAAACAAAATCCTTCTAATGCCCATATTACTCTTATGCATTAATAATTGAGCTAAAATGTTATACTTGCATGACTAATATACCCAGACCCAAACAAATCAAGAGCTCTAAAACATTGATTTTTAATATTTCTCTTTTTATTTTTTTGAACTTTTTTCTAAAAGTCCAAAACTCAATAATTCTTTTGGTTACCGAGATAGACATTAGGACGCCACTAAGAAAATGCGCGTATTGAATATAAAATTTCTATATGTAATAAAGCTAATTTAAGAACAGTTTTTTTTTTTTTAATACAATACGAGATTCAACCCCAAACTCCCGAATCATTATGCATTTAAGCATCATTATGCAAACTAAATATTAGCAACTATTTTGATATTTAGTAAAATTTTAAAAATTACTCTCACACAATGTATAAATTTTAAGAGCTTGTAACAATTTAATAATATTTTAAATTATGATCACCCCTTTTCAATTCGCTTATTTCTTTAAATTTTGTTAAAAATTCAAATGTTAAGTGGACCAAGGGCCAGATAATAATGCAATCGTGGTGGAGCCTCTAGGCTTTATCTATTTCATTTTAAGATTCAAATAGCTTTACTCAAACAAGAAAAAAAGAAAAGGAATCAAATAGCTTTAGTTCTAACTTCTAAAATCTGGTGAACACTCTTTTCAATACAGTAACATTTTTATATCCATCTAACTTGAATGCCCCAAGAAAAGCATCCAATTTCTGATAAGCATCATAATTTGAATTGCAAATTACCTGTTTCTTTCACTATTTCCGTATATTTAAGGTTTCTTTTTTTTTTTTTTTTCTATGAACTATTCACCAACTGTGACTTTTATACTAAAAAAATGATATTAGCCAACAAGTCTCATGTCAACAAATGTTGAAGAGAAAAAGATAACATCAGATATCTTAATTTCTATATGCTATCAATTACATTTCATATATAACAGAATTTATCTTGAAAACCTTACAAAAGTAAGCAACAGACACCCGAAGAAAAAAAAAAACGACAACATATTCTTATGTTGAAAGCCTCGTACCTAATAGATTATGTCGTAAGAGTTACAAGATGTAACATCTTACGATAAGTGCCTCCACATTGCTGGGCGATCTCTAGATATAAGGAGAGCCCGAGATGCAGAGTAATCAAACGACGGCAAATACAAGTCATCTGGTCCAACAATTTCTCTAACCATTTGTGTATTTCCTTGATCAGTGCTGAAACATTGCAGCTCATTATCCTTCAAGGCATCAAATACAAACAGCCCCAATCCCGAAACACCCATGACGTTGTTTGAATTTCCCCAGACTTGCGTAATGGCTGCATGATGGCCGTCGGCGTTGCATTCAGGCAAGGCGTAAGTGCTGAATAGCCTTTGCTTGCGCAGCGAAAATTGCTGCACTTCTGAAGAGGACTGTCTTTTGACCACTGACCTCACGTTTGTGCAGCCAAGAAAGACCGAATCACCACGAGAGAAAACCGACTGCACATTCGTGCCAAATTTCGATATCTTAAGGCCAACACCAGTTGGGTGGCGGAAGTCCAAGATGTTAATAGAATCATGAGTGCAGAATACTCCATCGTTTCCTTCAGCTTCTGACGAACTTAGCCTGCAGTTCAAATATCTACTCTTTCAGAGCTAGAGAAGTAACAGAATAGGCTTTTCTAAGAAAATGGGACAAATTTTGAGCAAATTCCAAAGTCCAACTTATATATTTTCTCGCTAAACTAAAATCGCATGACACCATGATAACTAGAGCAAAGGAAGGAAAAAAACAAGATTTTAAGAGGAAGAAATGATACCAGACAGAGCATTTGTAAAACAATTAGACGCGTACAAACTAAACTTCACCATATTAGAACATATATGTGGGGGAAGTTAACTTGGTGGCTGAGACAAAATTAATAAATGTAAATTAAGTCTATAATACTAATGAAATTGAATGAGAAACCAAAGTAGAAAACAGATAAATATTCACCTTTGCCTAACACCTCCACCAAGTTCAGCATCGGTGTTGTTCACATGAAGAGCAGAGATTTTTCGGCCAGATGAAGGAACAGATAACAATGCGTGAGGATTAAGGGAGTTTACATCCCAAAGAGAAATAGATTCTGCTTCAGCTACAACTACTTTTCCTCTGTTTCTCCACTGCAAGGGGCTTGAATAGTCCATCGATAACACAGGCTTCGGAACATCCCATTTCATGATCTGCTCTCCATCGCGGATGTCATAAATTTTGACTACTCTCTGGCCACTAGCAGTGATAGTAATAAGAGGTCCACAAGGCTTGTACCACCATTGTCGAGTTTCTGGTTCCATAAGGCTAGACAGAGCATTTCTCATGTATGAGATGTTGCCAGGTAGGGGACCGAGTACCATTCTTGAAGGAGTTGTTCCGCTCTCATTGTGGAAAGCTCGCACTTCTTTGGTGTAGAAATCCCAAGAGCAGAAACCGGAATCCAAAGCATTCCCAGCAGATGCAGCCACAACATACCTACCGGAGCAACCGTTCGCACTAGGAGCCCGGATTACCCAACAGTCTCTCCACATGTTTGGAGAAACACCAGCAGGAGGCTTATATACAGCTTTCTCCTGAAATGGCAACGGCATCATCAGCCAATATAAAAAGTAATCCTAGTCACACTAGTTATATGTCCATAAATTCCATACTGTTATGGAGTGAAATTACTAAATATTACTCAGCTAGTGCAACAAGATCAGCAATAAATCCAAGGGAACCATAAAGACATTACATAAGCAAAACTATCAAATTTTATAGTTCAAAGAATTAAACCCTGAAGCAAACCGACAAAATGCAGAAACAAAGGCAAAGAAGTTAAGCATACCAAATACATTAACTACTCACCAATTCCGAAAAGCTTAGAAGTATGAGATAAAGCACATCAAATGGCAAAGAAGCTTTAGCTTAGAAACGGGCTAAAGACAAGTACCTCATTGTTGACGATATCATAAAAGCTACATGAACCATCATCATGAGCAAGAAGAACCGATTCTCCCTCGGACACAAACCACCCTCCCGTCGACGTCTTGCAACCCAATTGATTCATCTGGTAAATGCAATTTTCGTCAGTTTCCTCTTCAATTATCATTCCTGGCCTATTCTCCTGATCGTCGAATTCTTCAAACGTTTCATCAGTTGTCAACACAAGCTCAACGTCACCTTTTCGAATAGTCACATCCAAAGAATTTTGCCCTGCTGCTGCATTTTCACCATCAGTTTCCTGAACATCAACACATTCAAAACGAGCCTGCCTTTCTCTCGCCGTTACCTGCGTTTGCTCCTTATCCAAGGACAGCAGGATTTCAATTGCTATCGGGTTCTCGTCTATCGGGATCAATGCCTTGTCTTCTCCCTTTAATCCACAACCAAACTCTCGAACACCAGACTCACCAACACTTAGAGAACTTCCTGATGATGTTTCCAACATGGCTATTCGATTCCTAAGCAACTTATGATGAGGAAACAATCTAGCTTCCAATTCATCAGTATTCAAACCTTTCACCGAAACTTTACCATTGTTCTCCATCTTCTCCAACCCACCATTCTCAACCATTTTCGTAACAACATCATCAACCACAGTCGCTTTCAAAGAGCCCATCTTGGCATCGGAATCTCCCACCACGTGACCCATGGCCTTCTCAATCCCGGAAATCTTGTCCTGAATATCCAAAACTATCACCTTTGACGCATCAGGGTTATTCAGATCCAACATCTCCTTAGTCCTCTTGATATCCGAGGCAATTCTCTTAACCTTCCCTTCCAAAAATGCAAGCTTCTCGTGTAGCTTACTCGAATACTTGCTCTCTTTAGAACCCTCCGAAATCTTCACTTCCTTCACAATTTTCTCACCCTCTTCTTTTTTCCCCAAATCAACACCATTAACAAACTTCAGAGCTAAGTCATCAACACCAAGATCAACACTTTCTCGCGATTTCAGATCGTCAATCTTAACGACATTTACACTCTTCTCGATTTGAATCGCTTTCACATCGAAAACCACGTCGCTCAATTTCTCCGAAATCTCATCAATTTTTCCATTCTCTTTACTGCCTCTGAAAGCCCTAATCCCGTTCGCACCTCTAAAGTCACTCACTTTAACTTTCACCCCCGAATCGCCAAATCCCTTCTTCTCCTTCCCAAAATCAGAAACCCTAACATTAGAAAAAGCCTTACCAGCGCTTGAAACGATCCGATCGTTCTTATCAACCGAAACCCTCCTATCTCTGCGAATTTCCAACGGACTTGGGCTCCGTCCTCGCGACGCCGACGACGTGGACCACCGGACGCCATTGCCGGCGGCTGAGAAGGCCCGCTCGACGCGGGCCACGTGCCGGATCACGGGCTTCTGGGCCTTGGAAATGGGCCCGGAGCTGTTCTCCTTGCCCGTGGGGAATCGCTTGTCGGAAACCGGAACCGGAGTCACGGACTTGAATGACTTAACGGCGGTTGTGGCGGCGGAGGATTTGGCTCCGGCAACGGCGACGGAGATGGTCCGGTCTTTGGGGCGGCGAGCTGACGTAGCGGACATTGATTTTTTTGTTTTTGCGAATAAATAGTAAATACGACGATGACCAGAATTGAAAGTGAAGATTGTAAGAGAATTCAAGTTGTCGGAAAATGATTTTGGATTTAAATGATAGAAGTTTTTTTTTTTTTTTCCTTTGTTCAGGCTCGGACAACAGGATGAGAGAGAGCGCAAAAGGTTTGGCTTTTGAGCGGGAATGAATGTGATTTTGAGTTTTGAAATATTTGGTGTTTTTTTTTTTTTCCTCTTTTGATTTCTTTTTTCCTATTTTGACTTTTTTCTTGAACGGATAAATTGCATACAGATGTATCCATCGAGAACCATCCTACGCTGGGCTGGGCCTAACTAGGCCACTGTTTTCACATGTGTAGGTGTAGCATGTTTTACCTACGTGTAATGTCCTGATCGAAATGACTGAATTAGAATAGATAAAAAAGGTTTTTATTTCATCCCTTTAAATTTAGAATTTAAATTTTATTATAATAAAAAATTATCAAAAATATTTACATTTAATTTTTTTACTATAATAAAAAGTTTTTATATAAAATTACATCTCAACTTAAATTAAAAATTCAAATCAGTGAATTAAATGGGTCCAAAGTCTCCTTTATTTTATCAATTTGAACTTTCAGTTATAAGTTTTTACAGTTAAAAGTTAATAAAAAAAATATCACATCTAATTTCTTTTACTAAAGTTAAAAGTTTTTAAAAATTATCACATCTCAATTTTAATTAAAAACTTAAATCTACGAAATTAACGTGGCCTAAAATTCTCAATAAGTAATACTCAAAGTGAGGAATTATAATCACTTTAAATTTAATTTATTACGTTTATAATCATAAGAAACTAATTTAAAGGTACTCATATATCGTTTAAGTAAATTTTATATTTTTAATTTAAAAAATAAATTGTGTAGTTATCATATTAAAGTTGGACATAACTAAAATATTTATTATAACAATAAGGGGATGAAATAGTAATTATAAGTTGCGTAGCTATTTAAAATATGAAGATAAATTGTGAAAATTTAAATAAAATAAATATAAATATAAATAAAATGCGTTAAAAATTAAAACAAATTATTAATTTTAATAAACATAATACATATAGTAAAGTTAATAACAATTAGGCTTTATAATATTAGGCAAATAAAATAATATAGGTTGTAATTAATATTTTTTAAATTTTATTTTTCATTTTATATTTTATATGTAAACTAGAGTTGAGATTGTAATTCAATGTTAATATTAAAGGGGTATGAGATTGTCAATCCTCATTCACTTCGCGGATTCGAGCTGAGATGTGACATTTTATGAGAGCTTTTACTGTAGCAGAAAAAGTTAGATGTAATATTTTCTGAAAGTTTTTTACTGTAGAAACTTAAAACTGAAAATTCGAATCGGTGAAATGAACGATGTCTATTGTTTTGAATTGTACTTTTTATACTGGATAGCTTTTCACTTTTTATACTTTATATTTATATTTTGAAGTGATTAAGACATTATAGTATGTGTTTTGAATTGTTATACATTTATATCTTTGAAACTATGACTGTCTATTTTTACGGGAAAAAAAAAAGTTTTAATTCATGTACACCACTTTGCCCTCACCAGTCAAGAAGATAATCTATCTGATATCGTCGAAAGGCGGCCTCCGATCATTTGGTAGATTATTATTTTCTTCTCAACAAAAAAGCGGTGTTCATCTTCAAATGATTGAGAATAACCTCGTGTACTATTTTTTTGTCTATCATAATATTTTCTATTTTCAATACAAGATGGCTGGTCGTTTCCGACAACTCCTTGGTCACCAAAAATTGGTCACCAAAAATAATTTGGTAGAGGGATTAGGGTTTATTTTAGGTACAATATAAAACAGATAAAATGGTCAACATAACACAAATTGAAACACTAACATTGGAAGATTCTCGTTATTTTTATAAGTTTGAATCATAATTTAACTTTTTTCTTTTTTCTGTAATGTTTTTTTTTTTTTTAAAAATTTAAGTTTCGGTTCAAGTTTTCTAATCAAACATATGAAAATAGCTTCCTAAATAAGTGTGAACATAAATCCAAAGCCACTAAAATAAAGTGGCATTACTCTTTCAATTTTTTTTATATTATATATTTTGAGGTTATCCAAAAAATACTCTGTTTTTTAGATTGTTGCACATTCGTACTTTTGTAAAGTAAATTATACCCTATATTCTTATTGCAAATTTAATTTTTAAAATTTCAAATTTAGGTTAATTTTGTACCATTACCTGAGTCTCACGGAGTTTATTGATAATAACTAGCTTGTTAATGGTTTCAAAGAAGGGTAGATAAGTATTGGCCTCTGGAAGTAGGGAGCAAATTGATTGATGCTATTTAGTATTTGCAATTTACCACTAACAAATTGATTGTGTACCTTATTGACAACTCTTGTAGCGTTGAGCAATCGTTTTCCGATGTTGAGTCTTTATAGAGAATGCAAGAACATTCATTTTTCTGCTGTTTCTGAAACACATTTACAATTCATTGGCGAGAGTGAGAGAAAGGGAAACTCGTGACAGTATTTAAAAAAAAAAAAAAAAAAAAAAAAAATTA